AGCGGTATTTTCAGTATCTACTGTGCTTATGGCAGTAGCATCCCCCTCATTTTCTAAGTAGCGAATTTCTAAAAGTAATTGTTGGATTTGGTAGAGATCTGATAAAGAGCGACGATTATCCTCGGTGGTTTTAGCAAATCCTTTACTGATATTATAAGAATTCAACTTTTCGCGTTTTTTAGTTAAAATCTCCCCAACTAAACCATCCAACACACCTTTTTTACTAATTATCTCACTCTCTTTTTCGGCAATTTCTTTTTTAAGTTCCTGGATTTCCTTAGCCAAATCGGCATTAGTCACCGCACTCACAGTTTTATCAGCTTCCAATTGAGCAATCAAATCATCCAGGGCATCACTACTTTCGGGTAAACGATAGTGAGTATTGAAATTGGCAAATATTCTAAATGGCATAGAAACTGGAGAGGAAAAATGATACCGAATTAGAGAAAATATTAAGGAATTTTTACAATCTGATGCGGATATTACCAAATCCGAGTCTTTAAAAAAACTAACCGCAGAAGCCATAACAGAGGACACCATGGATGGATATCGTAACTTATTGAAATCTTTCAGAAAAAATTATGATGAATTGGTGAAATTGAAAGGAAATGAGGATAATGCTAACAATTTCCTAGAAAGAATGACGGCTGTTGTTTACGATCGAAAATAATGAAATTAATGCGAAATTTAGCCATCGATATGAATATTAAATATAATTTGGAAAACCTCGAACTGGTCAAGGAAATATTAAAAAACGGCACTTCGGAGGAAAAGGAGTTTTTATGAAGCGAGATTGTAAAAATTTGCCCTGATGTTTCCGGACCCTCCCAGTCTAAATGTCATTCTTGTCTAGTCAATCTTAAACTCCTTAATTATGCCTGGGAAATAAGCAAGCGAGAGGATTTAACTACTGATTACACTTGTCGCGAATGTAATACTTTTTGGGTAATTCACTTCTATCAAGTAGCCGACCCGATGATGAAAATTAAAGCCCTAATTCCCAGCCAGGAAGAGAAAAAATAACAAACTATGGACATCGGATGCACATTAGGAATGACAATCTTGGGGTTGGGACTTGGTGCCATGGGTTACGGGTATAAAATGCATGTTGACCGCAAAACCCTCAAATTAGAAAAAAATGACCTAGAACACCAACGCAAACATTTAATAAGCGAGGCAAGAATTAAAGAGTTGGAAAGTGATTTATCACTTGTTAAGGCTTTTAATAAAGACTTACAGAAAAAAAATGGAAGTGAACAAAAACAGATTGACCAATTGAAAGAGCAATTAGAAAAACAAGCTGAAAAATTAGAAAGTATTGTTAAAAAATGCCAAAAAAATTGTAAAAAACATGAATAATATTAATTGAAATCGAATAATTAAAACAGCAATTCAGATTCTCGGTGCAACAGCTCCGGCTCTGATTGTTTGGTATATTAATCGTCCCAAACAAAAATCTAGTCCCAAAACAAGACTAATCCGCAAAGAAGGGCAAATTGCCAAAACTAAACTGCGGCAGGAAACTGAAAATGCTCAACGGGCCTTGAGACACCAAACCGAATTAAAAATTTTAGAAATAGACAGGCAAACCATTCT